TCACGTGAAAGTAATCCACAATTCTCTGCCAGCACAGGGTGGTTAACTGGTTTTATAAAAAGACATTCTTTTCATAATCTAAAAATAAAAGGTGAGGTGGCTTCTGCAGATGAAGAAGCTGCTAGAAAATATCCTGAAAAGTTGGCTAAAATTATTAAAGATGGAGGATATTGTGCCCACATCAAATCTTCAATGCTGATGAAACAGGATTGTTTTGGAAAAAAATGCCAACCCGTACTTACATTGCAAAGTCCGAAAAAAATGCCAGTGGTTTTAAAGCTGCTAAAGATCGAGTTACTTTATTGCTGTGCAGCAATGCATCTGGCGATCGAATGTTAAAACCGCTGCTTGTAAATCGATCTTTAAAACCACGTGCATTAAAAGGAAAAGACTTAAATACACTGCCCGTACATTGGATGGCAAACAAGAAGGCCTGGGTAACAATGGCTATTTTCACTGAATGGTTCAATAAATGCTCGTACCCGAAGTAGAAAATTATATGAAAGAGATGGGTCTCGAATTTAAGATCTTATTAATTCTTGACAATGCACCAGGTCATCCAAACTTAGAACATCCAAATATAAAGGTAGTTTTTTCCCTCCAAACACAACGAGCCTAATTCAACCATTAGATCAGGGAATTATTTCAACATTTAAAAAATATTATGTAAAATTCACTTTCCAATTCATTTTCGATAAACTGGAATCCGATACAATAACAGTTACTGAAGTTTGGAAACAATTTAATATCTTGAACTGTGTAGATCATGTTGCGTTAGCAATTGCCGAGATAAAATCACAAACTTTAAATGCATGTTGGAAAGCTGCTTGGCCTGAATGCGTATCAAAGAGAAATGAATCAAATAGAACAACAATAGTAACATCAGATATTATTTCAATTGCTAAGGAAATAGGTGGGGAAGGTTTTGATGATTTTGGCGAGCATGATATAGAAGAATTGCTTGTGGACGAAGCCCTAAATGATGATGATATTTTGGAAAGTATGGTAGATACTACTAAAGATTTCGAAACAGTAGATAGCGAACTGGAAGATGTTACTCCACTGGACGAAAAATTACTTCGGGAAGGCCTTCAACTTTCCAGTAAATTGGAAAATTTTTTTATTCAAAATGATAAAATAATAAAATGATAAAATTCCAACGTGATCTGAAATTTTGTATGTCTGGCTACAGAGAACTCTACAAAGAACTAGTCAAGCCATCACAGCGTTTGATTACTGACTACCTTGTCAAAGAAAAAAAAAATCACTGAAGTTCCTAAAGAAGCATTACCATGTAGATCTGATGACGTAATTTTATCTTCAAGTGATGAAAGTGATCTTGCACCAATCCACAAACGGGTTCGCACATTATCAGACAGCGAATAATGATGAAAACATTCTTAATATGATTTTAAATAAAGTTTTGTTTATGTTTTTTTTTTTTTACATATTAAGTTTTGTTTTTGTTATTAACACACATATGTGCCATTTATTAAAATATGATGAGAAAAAAATTAAATCTTATTATTTATAAATCTTTTTTTTTTATGCGATTTCTGGTGCATTTTAAAACATTATTTAGGTTTTATGCGATTTTTTTAATAAATGGAACGTATCCATCATTTTACATATAAATGTATGTCTTTTTTTGTGCGATTTTTTTTATGCGGTTCCCCTGGAACGCATCTACCGCATAAAAAAAGAACCAAGTGTACATATATACACACATATACACGCATACACCTATATATTGTTTAAAACCACAAGATATGACCAATATTTCCTTGAGATCGTTACATCAAAGACCATTTTTCTTAATGAAATCCAAAATATATTTACATAGGAAATTAAATTTTATATATGTGTCCTTACTTGAATTTAAATCACTAGGGCCTAAAGCTATTAAACCGTTGTTGACTCTGTAATCTAGAAAGACAGGGCACTCTAGCAAGAGATGTATTGAAGTAAAATACCTAGTTAACAGTTTCTTCACAAAAACTTTATGAAAATTACTTGGTTATGTTAATATTATAATCCCTTTGTTAAAATTATAAATAAAACACACAATTCGCTAAGGGAATAGTTTATTTTTTTATAACGGCAATACAAGTTTTCTGGTTTTACAGTTCTTTGACAGGTATAACGAAGAAGGGAATCAAGGTGGATGACCTTACAAAGTTACAACTTGGCGCAAATGTATTAAACTTTTTATATTCAAATTATTGTTTTAAAGAGGTTTTTAAAAAGTTTCAATCATATAGTAGAATTATTACAGTAGAACCTCCATGAGAAGATACTCGCGCTAGAGGACACCTCTCTACAGTAGAACCTCTATGAGAGGACACTCACACTAGAGGACACCTCTCTACAGTAGAACCTTTATGAGAGGACAATCCCGCTAGAGGACATATCTCTACATTAGAACCTCCATGAGAGGACAATCGCGCTAGAGGACACCTCTCTACAGTAGAACCTCCATGAGAGGACACTCGCGCTAGAGGACACCTCTCTACAGTAGAACCTCAATGAGAGGACAATCGCGCTAGAGGACACCTCTCTACAGTAGAACTTTCATGAGAGGACACTCGCACTAGAGGACACCTCTCTACAGTAGAACATACTCCATGAGAGGACACTCGCACTAGAGGACATCTCTCTACAGTAGAACATACTCCATCAGAGGACACTCGCGCTAGAGGATACCTTTCTACAGTAGAACCTCCATGAGAGGACAATCGCGCTAGAGGACACCTCTCTACAGTAGAACCTCAATGAGAGGACAATCGCGCTAGAGGACATCTCTCTACAGTAGAACATACTCCATGAGAGGACACTCCCGCTAGAGGACATCTCTCTACAGTAGAACATACTCCATGAGAGGACACTCCCGCTAGAGGACATCTCTCTACAGTAGAACATACTCCATGAGAGGACACTCGCACTAGAGGACATCTCTCTACAGTAGAACATACTCCATGAGAGGACACTCGCACTAGAGGACATCTCTCTACAGTAGAACATACTCCATGAGAGGACACTCGCACTAGAGGACATCTCTCTACAGTAGAACATACTCCATCAGAGGACACTCGCGCTAGAGGATACCTTTCTACAGTAGAACCTCCATGAGAGGACAATCGCGCTAGAGGACACCTCTCTACAGTAGAACCTCCATGAGAGGACAATCGCGCTAGAGGACACCTCTCTACAGTAGAACCTCCATGAGAGGACACTCGCGCTAGAGGGCACCTCTCTACAGTAGAACCTCCATGAGAGGACAATCGCGCTAGAGGACACCTCTCTACACAGGACAGTTTTCATACGCTAATAAGGTTTTAGTATATCTATCTAATATTTCCTAATTCATTGTATGTGTATATATGGATTGGTTTGCATTCAGAAAACCTTAGTAACATAGTGATACCTGTCGAAGGGCTCTTGAAAACTTATATTGCCGTTATATATAAAAAATAAACTCCTCCCTCAGTGAATTGTCTTTTATTTATAAATACTCGGCTATATTTGGCATGAATATTGTTGCATCATGATTAATGCGCGTATTTTAAATATTATTTATAATATTATTTTTAATATATTTAAAATTATATATTTATTTATTTTTATTTAAAACAGATCATTTAAATTATCATCATTCCTTTTGTAATATTTTATTGTACATATATCTTGATTGGTTATTGGAGCGAGAGAGTACCTAGACCAAGACTGCGAATCACGACCTACGAGGAAGACAACGAATAAATAAACACAATAACTTTAAAAGGTAATTTATTTTTATTTACTTTTCTTTATTTGCTTTGAATATAGAAACCCGCTCGGTGTATAACACCAAGAAGAAATAAACAAAGGTCGACGACCCTGCAAAGCTGCAACTTGGTGCAACAATATATAACGAAGAAAAAACTCCTGGCTGAAAGCAATACTTATATGGCTATAGATGGAATATTTAAATTTTAACTGGATTGGTTTGAGTATCTTCTGAGACATCTTCCTGTAACTTATTTCAGTTGGTTTTGCCCTCTGCTGTCCTACTAACGATGCACGAAAAAGAGGAAAACAAAATGTCCAAAACTTGGCAAATGCATCAACCCGATTTTACTTCTACCAACACCCACAGTTAAATGATCTAGATACAGAATGATTACATGACAAATGAGTTGAGATCTGCATGATTAGGTATATACAGTTAAACCTGTCTATAGCTCCCCCTCTTGGGAATCACCAAAATAGAGTGCTATAGAGAGGGGGTGCTATAGTCAGGTCACTTTTAATGTAATATGTTTACATTTTAATGTTTAAAATTGGGCGCTATAGAAAGGAAGGCGCTATTTAGAGGGGGCGCTATAGACAGGTTTAACTGTACAAGAAAACCACTCGAGCCTCTACTCAAATGTCGCACATACATAGCTAATATATAAATAAAAAATCAATCTATTATAGAGAATTAGAAAAATGATTTTCAAGTGAAAATGAAAATTTCGGTTGCTTTTATGAATATACGTACATGGCAAAATTTTCACTTTAAACATTTTTAATATGGAATACCACTTGGGAGATTATAATTGATTTAACTATTGTTGCATCCTTTATGATGCCTCCCTCCATTTATAAAAAAAAACTTCTCTGAGATTTTAAATTTTATTGATAATTAATATTTTAACATATTATGTACTATAGTATTATTCCTTTTGTAACATAGTTATTGTTTATAACTTGGTTATTTATTTTGGGAGAGAAGCCATGGACACGAAGACTGAAGATCACCAACTACGAGGAAGACAACAAATAAACATAACACATAAACATAAAAAATTAAGAGGTAATTTATTTATAAAAAGACATTTGAAAATTATCCCGCAAGTATTTCTTTTGAACGAAAAATCGAAATTCATTTCAAGGAGAAATAACGATTATTTCTAACCATAGGGATAAAGTATGAAAGGATGAATTGTGAAGAGTAATGATGAACGGAAAAATAAAGTATCCAGGGATGGGAATCGAACCCACAGTGTTCCGCTTACTGGGCAGATGCCATGTCCACTAGGCTACCCTGGACATATTTTTCCGTTCGTAAATATTATATAAAGTAATTTATAACACAATATAATGCGGCTTATGATTGTAAAACGACATTTGAAAATTATCCCGCATGTGTTTCTTTTGAACGAAAAATCGAAATTTATTTTAAGGAGAAATAACGATTATTTCCAACCTTAGGGATGAAACTTTACTTTGATTATGGAAACCCGCTCGGGTAACATGTACGACACAAAGAAGAAGGGAATCGAGGTGGATGACCCTACAAAGTTACAACTTGGCGTAAAACTATTAGACTTTTTATATTTAAATTATTGTTTTTAAAGTTTTAATTATATATTAGAATATTAATACAGTAGAACCTCCATGAGAGGACACTCGCGCTAAAGAACACCTCTCTACAGTAGAACCTCCATGAGAGGACACTCGCGCTAAAGAACACCTCTCTACAGTAGAACCTCCATGAGAGGACACTCGCGCTAGAGAAAACCTCTCTACAAAGGGCAGTTTTAATTTGCAAAATTACCATTTTTACTATTTAGCAAATCTCCGGTTAGAACACACCTCTCCCTAAAGGACTCTTTGGATCTACAATCAGGTGTCCTTTACAGAGAGGTTCTAGTGTATATATTTTTTACAATCACTAAAATTATAAACCCATCATTATATAATTTTCCAAAAAAAGATTTTCATCACTTATTCACCATTTAAAAAAATAATTATTTATTTATTTCAAAATGATCATTTAATATCTCCATAAAATTTAAACTGATAAAAATATGTTTTTTAAATAATAGGTAGATAAATAAATAAAAACAATTATTCTAAAAAGTGTTTTAAAAATATATAAAAATTTATTTAATTCATAGAGTAAAATTGTGTGATAATAAATCAATAAAAATCAAGTGAGCGATGCAAGCAGACGACTCTCGGTGGATAATGATATTAAAAGAACAATATGTTAAACTTCTTTTCTACACTCGCGTCTTCTCTCATAGTGAAAGATCATTTGCCTTTTCCTTTCCCTATTAGAGAGATGACTTCAAGTGATTAATTTAAAAGGAGAGTTCTAAAATATATTTTAAACAATTTTACGCTGGCGTTTAATCTAAAATAATTACCTTTCTAGGCCAATTTTCCATCAATCTTCTCAGACGATGTTTTATGCTCTTCCCTCTAAATTGGTAGCCAATCATTTCATTGGTGTTTTTCATCATGAGTTTTGTAAAAGACCAATTGAGACTTTTTTTACCCCCATTTTCTTTGGTTATATTTATCTTAATTTTTGTTTGATTTTGTTGAGTCTATTAACTTGAATGTGTTGTAATGATTGTAGAGAAAAATAATATACATAATAGATATTTTATTATTAATATCTCTCTTTGTATGCGAGTGTAGGCCTATACTTATCTGATAATTTGAATTGGTGAACATTTTGAGATTATTTTTACTATTCCTTAAAGGAGATCTACTGAATAGTAAAAAAATGTTAATTTTGGCAATATATACGAAAACTGTCTTTTATAGAGAGGTGTCCTCTAGCGGAAGTGTTCTCTTATAGAGGTATTACTGTATATCTCTTAAAGAAAAAGAGAAAGGTAGAAAAGAGAATAAAACAAAATGAAATGTAAAAGATGAGTCTTTCTTAGCTCAATAGACTAATTTGAAAATTCGAAACTATTATTGACGAGTATGATTATTTTAAAAAATAAACAATTTCTACTGTCCTTACTGTAATGGAAAAATTAATGGGAGGGTCTGGTTCATCAGTGGTGAACCCTCTCAGAGATTTCGCCAGTTTAATCTACCATACCGCTGTTATATTGCATTTTTCGGTTTTCCTTTTATACTGATATTGACGCTAGACTCTTGGAATGAGTATTTTAGTTGAACTATGGATATAAGCTTTGAGGATAGTAGAAATACATACAATTACAGCTGAACACACTTTATTTTCCAATCACAATTTATATACAATCAATTTATAAACGTGACCAGATAGTGTTGGTCAAATATATACCAAAATATACAGATTAATTAAATAATAAAAGCTCAAATAGTGTAGAAAAAAGGATTTTTTAATGTATTTTTACATGGTGTTGCAACTTTGTAAGGTCATTCACCTTGATTCCATCCTTCTTTGTATCATACACATTTCACGAATGGGTTTACACAATCAAGGTAAATAATAGATAAATTAATTTTTAAAGTTATTATGTTTATTCGTTGTTTTCTTTGCAGTTGACGATCTTCAGTCTTCATGTCCGTAGCTCCTCCTCAAAAATAAAGAGTCAATATATAAACATTAACAATGTTATGGAAGAAATAATACTATAAAAGGAATGATACTGTGATACACAATCTGTTTAAAATAAAATCAAGATATCATGGCTGGCGGGAGCAGCAGCAGTACAGTGTCGTGAGCCCCGAGCCGCTACGGTAACCATGAACAGGGAACTCTGAAATGTGGCTGACTAACGGGGCAATGGTACCCCACTTTCCATGGAGAATAGACAAGACAACACCACCATGATATCATAGATTATTTCAAATAAATAGGAGGGTATCAAACATTAAACAGTAGTATGAAATGGAAGCATTTAAGCCCGAATATTTCTTTTAAATATAAAACATACTTCTATACTGTCCTTACTGCGATGAAAAATTATATTGGGAGGTCTATGCTCATCAATGTTGTACCCATCCAGCAGATTCATCAATATAATCTACCAAACTATGCTTCTTAGAGTTCTAATACTGTATTGGATCATTCTGCTTATATATGCTGAAATGAAGAGTGTATTCTTAGAAATGGTATTGAAGAAAACTATGAACATAAGCTTTTAGGACAGTAAAATTACATATAAGACGGCACTTTATCGCTACATAATTAATGATAAAATTATATATTCTATATACAGTTACGAGCGTCATCAATTCTTAATCCGTCATTCATTATTCATTTTTTCATCTCTGTCACCGTTTGCTTTTTTTTTTTGGAATGGCGCCCTCCTATTGGTTGGCTACGATCACGCCACCTTTGCCCCCCCCCCCCCCCCATCATGCCCCCCCCCCCCCCCCCCCCCACTCGCTTTTTCGTTTTTGTAACTATTGTGTTGGAGCGGGTCGCTCCTTAAATAAATGCATATATTAGTTAATAACTAAATGGAATCCTCTCTTTCTTTTTCCCAGTAAGAGACGCCTACGGAAGCCAACAGTACATAGACAGATAAAGCACATAGGCTTTAGTTATTAACTAATATATGCATTTATTTAAGGCGCCAATTTATAATTGTAACAAATAGTATTTGAATAAAAACATTTAATCGGGTAAAACCCGGGCGTTGCCCGGGTCATTCGGCTAGTATGTTATAAATAAGAAGATTTATTGCTTGATTTTTGATTATCTTGAGGATTATGCTTTGTCAATGCAGTCGTGGTTAAAATCTTGAAACTATAACAATAAAAATAATGAAGATTAGAAATAGTTTTAATTGAGCTTATGGGATATATAAAAAACATAATTTGATAAAAGTACTCTCTGGCTTAAGGCGAGTAAAACAAAGAAAAACAAAAGATTATTTACATAATTACAAAGGTTTTAGCCGGCCATCGGAACACAACAACAGCGGGTTATATAAACAGAAAGCGCGACCTCTTTCGGTCGACTTAACAGAATATTTGAATCTATGAAGTAAAATAACATTTTAAATAATACCTTAAAATAACACTAGACGGGTGACCCGGGCTTCGCCCCGGGATTGACCCGTGTGCATATCTACCCGAGTGATATATATTTAGATAAGATTTTTTAAAATAATTGTTTGTTATTAGCATTATCTATTTGTTTGCATCAGCATAATTTAATCTAATCTTTGATAGAGGGCGCTGTTCGTGAGCTAAGTAGAATAATTTGAATATATAGTTTTAATAATTGATTTATATATATTTTTAAAATGGTCTATCGTCTTCCCCGTATTTTTTTACCTATGTATGGAAATTTTGGTTTGAATTATTGAACTACTGCGAATTTGTATACCGGACATACAAACAAACAAACATACAAACATTGATTTTTTATATATATATATAGATATATAGATATATACAGCTAAATGAGTAAATCATCAATGTCAAACTTCCCTCAGCAATATATTCACCGATTAAAATCAACCACCAAACAAGCATAGCCAATCTAACAAAAAAGGTTGACAGCGTTAAAAGGAAGAAGCTAAATTTACCGAACAAGGTTACCATCCTAAAACCCATATAAACTTTTAATGGCATTTTATCCGTTGATAAACCTTTTGTTGAGGCAGGGAGGGTTGGAATTTTATTGTTCCGCTTCCATTAGAAGTCAGGGCTGATTTGAATGCTTTCTTATCATCTTTACTGCGACGGTGGTTGAGGTCCCTCGGCGGCCGGAGAGACCTACGGAGCGTTGACCCGCCCGATAAGCTGACACAGCACCGACTGGTCTATTAGGGTTAGCACTCCCCGGGGTATCGCTTCGTACCCGGCCAACTCGGCTAAATTCCTCCGCTAAATTTTCCACATTTGGAAATCATATTTGATTCGATTTTTATACCTAGTTGAAAATACTTTTTATTATGTTGGTTCGATTCTTTTACCATTATTTTTTGCAGTAAAATTTCCTGATAACTTTTTTAAAAAGTTTTTTTAAACGTTATTTGATAATCTTTTATATTGTAACAAAGTATTTATTAATTTTATTATTTTTATTAACAGAGTGGTCATTTTGATGTTTATATTTTGCTACTCTGTAAATTTCCCTCTTGGCTTATCTTTTGATTACCATTCATAGTTTGTTCTTGCCTTAAATAAATTGCTGTCTCATCCTGAAGTTTGTCTTCCCTAATTTTCCACGTGGCAGTATAATGGATCTAACATAAACTTTTAAACCGAAATTGTGATAATAATTATGATAATAGAAATAATTAGTAATGTCAAACTTCGTCCCCTGAGGACCTAAACCAAGCTTTCTAGAACAGACTTTC